GGGGGGGGCGTCCAAAATATCGGTTGTGGTCGTTACCGAACTACTACACAAGCGGACATTGCAGTCGATAATACTTGGAAGGCCCTCCAGCGTCTCCTCAGGCACAGGGGGGAAGTGATAGAGTGGGGGTCGACAAAGAGCCGGCACCATGGCCACAAACTGCAAGTGATGGATGCCTGGGGGGGCGGTCATGTGCTGCAGGAAGGGTGGGGATTGGGGGGACTTGGACATTCACTTTCTGCAAATTTAGCAAATTTAGCACGTGACCGGAGAAAAGACAGTACTTCCGCGAAATCGGTCGCGACGGTGACATCCGTCCACAACAAACAACAAACGACCGAAAGCCTCGCCGAACGTTTATCTTGGGGTTGACAAAGACATAAGAAGCAGGTTTGCTGTTTCGACCGGACCACGTAGCACACGGCTGGGCCCCGCACTCACCGCGGCAGTAGGGAGACATGTCCAGGCCGTTGATGGGAAAGTCGACGAACAGCTCTACCTTGCCGCGGTTGGGCCCTCTGCCGCCATCGTGGCATAAAAACACACGTAAGACAAGAAAAAAATAGCAGGGCAGGTTAGTCTACACAAAACAGGGCAGGGGTATACAACAAACCAGAGGTGTGCGAAATTGGTTGCTTGACAAATCGACGAAATGCGGTGGATCCGCGTCAAGCAACACAGCTATGTAGTTCGTGCCCGTACACCTGAAGAAAACAGTAGGGATCCCTGTCAATGGCCCTTTATGTAAGGCCGGTTGCCCTATCTACAGCCGGTGAAATCGCTTGTGCAATAATCAAGTTTTCTCATACTAAGGCCGCGCGCCCTGTTAAAGGCCGTTGTTTTACCGTGGCACATGGTGACCTTAAACAGGGACCTCTGCCGTAGCACCATCCGCGTACTCACGCGTGGGAGAAGCGCTTGAAGTGTAGGATCAGCACCTCGGGAAGAGACCAGACTTGGATCGTCTTGACCGCCTTAAAGTACCGTTTTTGCCGACCACAGGAAATAAATGCAACACAGGTGTAGAGCAGCAACCGAAATGCAATCAGAACAATATTGGGGGGGGCACAGGAGGGAAGGGTAAGATGACATAGAAGCATAAGATAATTCAACGGAAAAGACGGGGTTGGCTTCTTCTGGAAAACCGCGAAAAATCATGGCGCAAGCGTTGAAAGCGTGTTCATTTATGTCATGCTTCGGAATGCAATCTCATATTCGTATGGTGGAAAGGAGGCATGTTTCAAAAGCAGATTGTAATCGACCAGCCAAGCCAGTGACGGGAACCAAGAGCTATGTCGAGCAAGCTCGTGATGATCGACTGCTTTACTGTGCGGTGAAAGGCACAACGTAGCAGACCCCGAAACGCCACGGTGCTTGTCCTGGGTCATCATTGTACACACGCAAAAATGGAATCACCACCGTATCGAGTTCTTGGATCGCACCCATCCCCGCGTCCACCTAATCGAATACAGTTATCGCACTTAAGCACTTGGCAGCTAAGAACTTGAGAACTTGGCAGCTAAGAACCCACGAACTTGGCAGCTAAGACCTCAAGAACTTTGCAGCTAAGAACTGAAGCATTTGGCAGCGAAGAACTCAAGAACTTGGGCAGCTAAGAACTTTCAGCCTCGAACTACTCGAAATCGAAGAACTTGAGCACCATGACTTGAGCCCGGTTACTGACCCCCACACTATGACCCGTATATAAGCGGCAGTTTGTAGCGGAACCCTAAAATAAATAACCCCAGCCTCGGCCAAAACTAGACGTTCTCAAGTGCGGGGGCTAACTGTAGTTGTGTAGAGCAATCGACTGCCCGTCTTGGTGCCTGCCAGCCCATCGGCCCGGGTGTTCCAACCATGCAAGAAAGCGGCACTTGTCAAACCACGAGCCGCCTCGTCAATCCCACCTGTCTGAGCTCCTTGCAGCGGCTGCAGTACCAAGAGTTGTCCTCGCACAGCGTCTCCGGAACAGAGAACTGTGCGACAAGTGACGAAAAGTTGGCTTTGGTTCGACCGCGGTGTTGGTTGGTTGACCTTGATGTTGGTAGAACTCACAACTATAGTAGCGTGCGTGCTCAACCTCTTCCGCAAAACGCAAAAGGTCGGAACAGAAGCAATACGTCTACTTCGAGCATACACCGTCCAGACCACGACAAGGTTAGGTTCAGGAACAGGAAAAACCAACTTCGTTCGAAGGTATTACACGTCGGCTGGATCTACAGCGTACCCCCATCGAAGGCTTGGTGTACCGTACATGTCGTGCAGGCGGAACGCCGTTTCGGGGCGCGTTTTCATGTTGTGTGAGGGCGTGCGTACGTGCTGCAGACGGCTATCTGCAGTCATTCAACCGTGTTTGTAGCCTTGTTTCACCTTGCGTCTACCTGCCTAGGGCCTTGCTGCGCTCTGCTGGCATTTACACTGCGGTAGCAGTCTTATTTTACCTTGTGTCTACCCGCCTAAGGCATTGCTTCATTTCTACTGTGGGCATGACCTTCTACCTTTTGTAGACAGTCCTGGAGGCTGACTCTCTTCGCGCGCAGTGCCGTATCTTGCACGCTGCTCAAACGAAAGGTATACAAATCGGGGGGGAGGGGGGGAGGGGCGTACTCTCTGTCATGTATTGCATGCCTTAGCGGTTAGACCATTGACCACGCGTCCGCGAGACGACGGAACATTCGTGTGCGCGTAGGTACTCATAGCCGTGCATGCCGTAGTCATTAGACCATTGACCTCGCATCCCTGCAAAGTCGGGGGGGGGGGGGGGGGGGATTATTTTAAACGGGCAAAACCTTTAAAACCCCCAAACCCCTGGAAAGGAAGCCTTTGGTCCAGGGTCCAATGCCCAAAAAGGGGGGGGGAGGTCCTTGGGCCCCCAGGAACCTTTAACAAAAAAAGGCCCCCCCCGCCTCCCCAAAGGTCCAAGGGGAGGGGGGGGGGGGGGGGAAAACTCTTGTCGTTTTTTTAACCCCCTTGGGGGGGGCGGGGGGGGGGGGGGG